GGTACTAGGGATATTATAGCTAATGTTAGGTGGATCTTGGCAGAAAGCAGAGAATATCAAAAGAATGTCTCTCTGGGCTTCATTGATTATACACAGGCTTTTGACTGTGTGGATCATAACAAGCTGTGGCTGACCCTGAGAAAAATGAGAATCCACATTTGATTGTGCTAATGTGAAACCTATACTTGGACCAAGAGGCAGTCGCCATAACAGAGCAGGGAGACACTGGATGGTTCAAAATCAAGAAGGGGGTCCACCAGGGATGCATTTTGTCTCCATACCTCTTCAATCTGTATGCAGAACAGATCATCCGAGACACTGGGCTGTGCGAGGAGGAATGTGGCATCAGGATTGGTGGAGAATCATCAACAATCTGCATTATGCAGATGACACAACCCTGCTTGCTGAAACTGGGGAGGACCTGAAGTGCTTGCTAGAGAGCAGAAGATCAAGGACTGCACTCTTCAATATGGATTGAAGCTCAATATCAAGAAAACAAAGATTCTCACCACTGGGCCAATTGGCAGCATCAGTATGGATGGTGAAGAGATTGAGATAGTTAACAGTTTTAGTTTACTTGGCTCCACAGTCAACACTCTTGGTAACAGCAGCCAGGAAATCAGGAGACGAATTGCATTCGGAAAGTCAGCTGTGAGGGACCTCTCAAGAGTACTGAAGAGCAACGATGTCAGGCTGGAGACTAAGGTGTGCCTGATCCAAGCTATGGTCTTTGCAATTATGTGCTATGCATCGGAGAGTTGGATAGTGAATAGGGATGATAGAAAAAGAATTGATGCCTTTGAGCTGTGGTGCTGGAGAAGAGTGTCGAATATACCATGGACTGCTAGAAGAACAAACGGGTTTGTCCTGGAGGAATGGTCCTCGGAGTCAGGGATTCTGAAGCTTCGTCTGATATACTTTGGGCATGTAGCAAGGAGGGACTGGACCTTGGAGAGGGACACCATGTTTGGGAGAGTGGAGGGACGGACGGCACAGCAGAGGA